AGAGAGAGAGAGAGAGAGAGAGAGAGAGAGAGAGAGAGAGAGAACAGCACATAATGTGCAGTCCCGCTGGTACATTATTAATGAGCCGACCTCTTGCGAAGTCGCTAACAGAGACGCTTCCCATTCGCTGTTTCAGGAAACCGACCAGCAACGACATCACTGCCGTCGAGCGGCCTCATCATCGCCCGCCATCTCAACCGAGGGGGAGATGCAACGGCGATGGTGTGCAGCCGCCACGAGAACGAGTGGGCCAGGAGGACACCACCGAGAACCTTGCACTGCCATGGAAGATTCGTCACCTAGTCGCTTCTTACTTCTCTCCTTCGTCTCGCTTGCGGACGATCGCGCGATTCTCAAGGACGGGTTACACTGATGCATCCGGCTCTATGGAGGAGAAGTCACCGCTCTCGTTCTCGCCGTTCTTAATCACGATGCGACGCGACGCCACGCGTCTTGCACTGCCAACTTATAACAGCACGAAAGAGAGAGAGAGAAAGGGAGAGACGCTATTTTTCTTCCTTTTGTTTCTTTCTTTTTATATTCTACCATTGACTGCGTTCAGCAGAGAAAGCTGCTTCGCAACTGTTGTAAAATTCATGAATCTGATTGGTGTGTGCTCTTAAATTCAGCAAAGATTAAGAGCATACACTAATCAGATTTACTACAAGTTTTACAACAGTTCCAAAGCAGCTCGCTCTGCTAAACGCAGTCATTGCATCGTCGTGTTCCCTTTTTCTTTTGCTTTTTTTTTTCTCAACTTTTCGTTCTCTCACACGGCCAACACGCGGTTAACGCGGCCGCCGAGCCTGTCCATCGTCGATAATGGACAGACCTGTCATGTCACTACTCTCTTTCTCTGTTCGACGCTACTTTATCGCTATTATCACACCGCAACCACTAGCAGCCCGCTACTTCCAGCACTGTCCGCCACCGGTCGCGAAACATTTGCACGCGCGAACATCGCACCGTTACCGTTATCGCCGCACTATCACCGCCGTCGCGACTAATGCGGCGACCGCCGTTACCGTATCGTTTCTCTGTTGTCTCGGCCGAGTACCGACGGTATTAGATCCGTCGAGCAGAGAGCGTGTGCTGGGATCGCAGAAACGGTATGGAGAAGCGATTGTTCGCAGAAAGAAAGAGAGACGCCGCGCGTCCTCTTCAACGTTCGCGTCGTGCGGACAAACGTGCGGCCTGTCGACGCCGGCAAATTCACAGACGAGATTCATACGTTGAGTCACGCGAAACCATCGGCGACACTCCCCGGAAGGGGAGCCTCGTCGGCAGTTCCATCGCGCTTGTCGCGCCAAAGACGACAGAGAAAAGGGTGTATCCATATGAGTGGCAGGAGATATCTCTGGCGGCGAGAATTGACGTCCTAGCGAATGAGGCCTCGGTAAAATAGACATGCCAAGATCTGATTTTCAATTGCGTATTATTTCGGGGCGACTCGACTTAGATAGATACATTGGTAATAGATGTAACGTTAAAACTTAAGTAATCTCGCGAAAAGAGACGCCGCGACGGCATCCGTCGCCGGGCGTCACATCCGACACATGTACTCTGGGACTTTGCTCCCAGACAGAAAAAAGATAGAAAAACAATTGTAACTTGATAGAAAAGGTCACTTGTAGGAAGAACTATTGCGCGGAGAATACTCCGCAGATACACCCACTTGATCTTCGATCAAGTCCACCCGACATTGAGACTCGATCTATTGGCATTATTCATGTAATACTCTGTGTATGAAAGGAATATACAGTTTTCCAAATTTTCACCCATCTTGCGTATTTCTTGATTGTCGAAAATGGCAATTTCCACCCGAGAAAAGGAGAAGATTGAAAGAAGCATTCCAATCACGACTGGAAGTTTGCTCTATCAGCTGGGATCCCAATCGTTCGATTTGCACAAGATTATCAGATCCTGCTAAGTCGTGTAAATCAGCGTGGCAATAAAGACTTTATTAATAATAGCTCTCCGTATACAATGCTGGATCTGTGAGAACCGAAGAAATATTCAATCGCTTACCAATATTTGTAAAAATTGTAGAATAGTGCAGATTTGTAGATTTTATTGCGCTACTAGCTTATAGCTTTTCTATATCCCTGCGAAAAGAATGTTGGCCCAGAAATATTGATTTCAACAAAGTTACGACAGTAATTCAGTATTCAATGAAGTCAATATGAGAATATTGCCCAAAAATTCCAATAAAACTATGAAACTATGTGACACTATAATAATATGATAATAATATGATAATATGAAACTATGATAAAGTCGCTCGCGTCTGATAGACCCAGATTATGCTGCATGTCCCAAAAACATGATTCTGGCAGAGGATTATTAATAATCAGGACCCAACAGGATCTTACACAAACCAAATAATTGATTGGAATTAACCTGATCCCAGAGCTGATGGGACAAATATCTAGTCGGGGGTCGGAACGAGACGTTGTCTCGAGCACCATTGCTCCCGTTCAGAGATCACACGAAAGCGTCGCACAGGGGTGTGCTCGACGAGCCGCGACGTGTTCATCTTCGTTCGGCGAGTTCACCAATGAAACCCCTCCGCGACGTCATCTTCGGGAGGAGGTGGTGTCGGTGCACCCCGTGCATCGGTCGTGTTACACATTGCTACCTTCCAGCAGGCGGTGTTGTAACGCGAACGCGCGTCTCGAGCCACGACGGTCGCGTACCTGGCATTCCTCGCATAGTGCATCGGTTCGCTCGATGCGACGCGCGCGGGCTCGTTGCGATTCGCTCGCTCTTTCTTTCTTTCTCTCTCTCTCTCTTTCTCTCTTGTTTTCCCTCTCTCTCTCCCTCATTCTCTCTCCTGCCCGAGCGGCGAACATACGAGCACGCGCCGACACACGCGACATCGCGCACATGCACGCGTGTGCGACACACAACAGACTTGACATGCACACCCGTGAATCCACATACACGCATACACACACACACACACGCGCGCGCACGCACACACACAGACACACATGCAAAAGCGCGTATCCATACCCAAACATCGCACCCACACATTCGCACACACGCACACGTCCCGAGACGCGCTCGTGCGCGAGCGCATATCTCTTCAACCCACGTATATGTGTACGAGTTACCGTATTTCTCTTAATTACCGCACGCACGATCGAATTAGCGCATAAGTGAAGAACGCGTTCATTCTATCCCCCCCCCCCTCCCTTTGCCCCCTTAATTATTATCCTATTATTATCGTCCCTTACCAATCTTATTATTTTTATGGTATATATTATTGTATTATTATATTATAATTATTCTATTATTATTCTATTATTATTATTATTATTGTTTTCCATTGTTATACTAGTTAAGTGTTTCAGGACACTTCCTCCCGCGGCTCTCGCCGTTCCGTCGCGCCGGATTCTCAGCGAGCGCGGAAGCGAGAACCACGCGCGGGAGGAGGGAGCCTCGCGCACACACAGATGCGTTTTTTTTTTAATTTTATTTTTCTCCTTAACGAGTGGGGAGGCGAACGCGTGCACGGGGAAAGATGTGAGTGTCGTGTAGTAGTACAAAAAAATACAAAATGTGTGCGAGAGACAAGCGGGACCGAAGGAGAAGCGCGAAGAAAGAGAATATATATAAAGGATATCTATATATCTATATACATATATATTTATATATATATATGTGTGTGTATATATATATATATATATATATATATATATATATATATACACACGTATATATATACAATACAAATATATATTTTTGTACCTTTTATTCTTCGAGGTATATCGACACACGGATAATCGAGAGACGCTCGCAGTTCACATCGACGCGGCGCGTCCGATCGATCGCGAGTCGCTGTCGTATCATACATCTCTCTCTTTCTCTCTCTCTGTCACATTCTCTCTCTCCCATCCTCTCTCTCTCGTTCTCTCGTTCTCTCCTTCTTCTTCATGATCCTCGTGACCTTTCTATATTGGAACGCAACGATCCATAGGCCGATAAGAGTTCGTTACTTGAGGTCACGTTCGGAAGAGCGCGTCAATCGTTTCTATTATTAATCGTGAATCGCCGCAATTGTCGCCGTACGTCTGAACGTCACCCCGACTAAAGATCCACGATAATGTTTGAGAGAGAACGAGAAAGAAAGAGGGATAGTGAGAGAGTGATGGAGGGATAGTGAGAGAATGATAGAGAGAGAGAGAGAGAAAGAAACAGAAAGGGAGTCTCGAGTCACAATTCCGAAAGCTGTCTCTTAAATTAATTTTTCCCCCTCCGCTCCCGTGCGATTTGTAGGGTATAATGTAGCCGTTTGTTTTTCTTTTTGTCCTTTTTTTTGTATAAGTGGTAAGAGTGCGAGAAAAATGGAGAATAAAAAAAAAGAAAGAATCCGAAGTGGCTGTGCAAGCGTTGGCGGTAGCCCTTTTTTTCCATCTCCTTCACTTCGCTTCCTTTGTGTCGGTTTTCAAGGATAACGCGCGACAAAGCTATTTCGCCGGCCATGAACAACTGCTCGACTTTCTACGATTGAGTCATTTCTAAACGCGCGATGCCTCGTTTTTCCGACGACTCTTTTTTGCGCTCCGTCGCGACTTTTTGGTTTCCGTCGAAAGCCGGGAACGTGTCGACTCTCCCCTTTATTTCTGCGGCGCATTGCGCGATTCAGAAGTCTCCTCTGAACGGATCTCTTACGATTTCAGAGAACATCCGCGAATGCACCTCCAGTAAAAAAGAAGGGGAACGAATCGTCCCAGATGGACTTCCATGATTATTACAATGTATGACAATTGATTGCAGAAACTTTACAACTTTTTTATCACATTTGCGAAGCATATATTGAATTGAATTAATCATTAAGTTTACATCATGTAATAAACGTTAATTTGTTTTATTTATACAGCAACATATTTACGAAAAGTTACATTCAGATTGTCATGTTATATTTTACACGGAGAAAATTTTGCAAAAATTACTATAGAATTTTGTAACCGGGAAATAGATCGGCATTGTACACTCATTGACTATCCTTATATTTCATATGTGTTATTTAACATATGTCTTAGAAATTGTAAACTTTGGTATATATGTGTATAGAGAAATTTACTATATTCCTTAGCAAGATAAATTTTATTGGCAGTCCATTCCTGCATTATTGGAAACATAAGATTGAAAAGAATCTATATAAAAAACAGAAAATTATAATATTTTCTTCAGGTAAATGACGCAAATTTTGATTATTTTTTTCACGCATTTCTTTCGTATTTTTATTTAGTCTTTCTATGTTGTAAAAAAAATAGTCTTTATTACTTTCCACATGACAAATATGGATAACACTTTACGCTTTAGTTTACTCTACAGTAAAAATTATAATTATAAAATTGAAATTTATACGAAGAATTTATGAAAAAAAACTATAATATTCTCCCCATGCATTACATTCTATGTGATAAACACAAGTGATTCTTTATCACATTCTATGCGATAAATGTGTGGTGAATATGAGCCGCTTAAAGGATGCAACCTCTACAAATCGATTAATAACAAGATTGCTGGTGAATTGACGTACACCTGTCTATCCGGAGCGTCACCTGCCTGTCGGACGCTGCCTGTTGCGACGCGCGATAAATACAGCGGGGTTTTTATCCTCGAAGACGCGCCGGGCTGCATCCGCGGCGCGGAGGCCGCGATATTTTCATAGGTCGGGAACGCACACTCGCGCGAGCAGTACCCGTGAGCATTGCTTCCAACTGAAACGGGGCTTAGCCTTAACCTTTAGCGGCCAGTAATAAAGCCCGACACGCGACGTCTCCTCCACCGCCGGCAGTGGGCTCGCGAGCCCTCCCGATCACGTCGCTCGTCTCACCACCACGACGAGGATCGTTAACGTTCCTGTCGCGGATCTCTCACGCGACACACACAGTGGTCCACCCTCTCGTCGTGAAAACGACCGCGCTCACGAAGGAGAGAGAGGTAGAGCCGCCGCTGTCGCTGCGAGCTCCGTCGCTAATCGCGAGATATCGAGGATCGGCACGTGGCACGCGGCACATCTCTTTTGTTTTTGCAGACCTCCGGGCGACTCCGCACTAGGTTACTGGATTCTCTTCTCGGATTGCTCACTCCCCCTTCGGTCGAGCAGCCCCCTCCATGATGCAATCGCCAGTTGCTCTCTCTCTCTCTCTTTCTCTCTCTCTCTCTCTCTTGATCTCCCTTTGATTCTAGTGAACCTGACCGGCAAGCTGAGATGATACCTCAGGTGTGAGAGTTACAGTTTCGTCCGTATCGATGCGCGCCATATCAGATACAATTTTTCGATCCGTGTCGCGCTTTTTTCTATAGTCCTCCCTCGTCTCCCCTCCCTCCATCGCCACGCAATCGTACTCTTTCAGCGTGCAACGATATGCGCGATAAGGTTATAATACGAGATAAAATGTCCGATTCGCGTGCAAAACAGACCGGAGCGTCCACCACCGGTTCGTTTGCATTCGTCGGAGGTGCGCCTCTCGTTAGCAAGGTGTTCCGGAACATCCCGGCTTGATTTGAATAGCGGACTCTCCGGACGAGTTCGGAGCTGACTGTTCCTACGCTTGCAGCCGTTTAATATTCAACGTCGAGCCCACCATGTGTCATGATATCCCGCGAATTCGAATAACGAAAAGTTTCCGCAAAATAAAATCTCTTTTGACTTAAGCGGCCCGTGAGGAATTCCCCACAATTCTCTTTGCAACTTACAATTCTCTTACCACTTACAATGCAACTTTGCAACTCGAAGTTTTTTACAATTTTTTTACAGTTTATAATTCTTTGCAATTTAAAATTTTTTACAATTTGCAAATTACAATTTTTTGCAATTTAAAATTTCTTGTAATTTCCTTACAACTTAAGATACTTCATAAATTTTACTATTCCTTACAATTAGCTTACAACTTGCAATTTTTTGCAACTTGGAATTTCGTGTAATTTTTCTTTTACTTTTTACAATTATTTACGATGTAGAATTTCTTACAATTGCTTTGCAAATTATGCATTTTTTGTAGTTTAAAATTTCTTACAATCGTCTACGATTTACAAATCTTTGCAACTTGAAACTTCTTACAATTTTTCTACAACTTATCATTCTCTATAAATTTCTCGCAATTTCTTACGACTTTATAGCTTTAGTTGTACTCTGAAAACTTGGTCCTAGTGAATAGATCTTCAATATCGGACGTGTACAATTTTAAAATCGTTGATAACCAAATGTTCTCATTAGGAAAAGTTCGGTTAAATTTGGTTTAGGCCATATTTAGAAGTCCGACCGAAATCAAGGCCGGAGTTTCCTGCATTCTCCGGACATTTTGCGCTGCGTTACAATTTCGTACACGCACCGACGAACACGAGACAACAGAGAGGGACGGGAACGGATAGCCAACATCGCGAGCGTGTAGTCGCAATCATCCGTGGTCGATTTTACGGCATTCTTCACAAGCGTATGTGTTTTATCTCCGCGTGGCCGCCCGTAAAATTAATCGTAATCACGCGCGCGCGCGAAACGCGGCAATGCGGCGCGATTGTTGCAACCAAAGTCGAGGTCACACCCGCAAGTAGTTTCTTACGTAGAAACTACGATCGCGGGATAACGAAGTGTTTTTCTCGATGTGCAGCGATGAGAAACGATTACTCCGCTATCGCGGTTTATTAATGGACACTCCGCCACAGCTATGCGCGCGAACGCGCGTTTATTTAAAGTTGCTCTCTCGCGGCCAGGGATACGCTATTAAAGAAATCAATTGTGCAAAAGTTCATCGCAGGGTGAGCGCGGGGTGTACACGCGCCGAGTTAAAGGTTAACACTCTTATCCACGGATAGATTTCAATGTACTCGCTACGAATGATTTGTGAACTCGATTAATGGCGTTCCTTGACCTTAAATGAAACTATACTGATTCGAGCTAGACCGTAGCCGCAGGAGAGACAGAGACAGAGAGAGAAAAAGAAAGAGAGAGAAAATGAGAAAGAAAGAGGAACATTAATAGCGAGAAATACACTCGAATACGTGCAGGAATTCTGATTCTACCGGGATTTTGTCTGCATCCTCCTGCATTTCTTTATATTTCTTTAATTCGCAAGCCCATCCTCCATTATTTTCGACAGTCGTCGTGGCGCGGTCGCATTATAATGGATCTGATTTTACGGGTCAGGTGTGCGAATTTTTTCTTCATGCCGTTTTAGGATCCCATAAGAGGAAGAATGCTCCGATCTCTTCAAGTAACCTCAATCAATTTGACGAAAAAAGGCAATTTGTAAACACATAAATTTCACGAGAGAGAATTCAATGAAATTTGTAAACAATTTAAGCCGCTGGAGCGGCGACATGTTAGGAGCGACCTTATTCGCTCCTAATTTTCTTTATATTCTATTTTATTCTTCCTTTTCTCTAGTTCTAAAACTTCTCGTTTATAATGGGTAATTTTTGTCGGGCGAGTCATTTTCCAAATCCTTGAAACTTTTCATCCTAATTTATACGCTTGTTCGCGAAACTACGTTGACAAATGGCAACTTTGTCAAAAACGTCGGTATCACCTTGTCGGTCGACAAGGGGACGTACTCATTTAAATTTTTTAGAATTTGCCCATTCAATACCCGTGACTGTCTTGTGGATCAGCCATCATTTATTTTTTTTTCTTTTATTATAATACTTTATGACAACTCTTAATAAATCTCCTGACTGAACGATACAATATTTAATAATGCAACTAAACCTTACAAATTCAACCTAGTATACCCTCCTCCTTCTATGGTGGATCCCCCATTGCGTCCAAGCACCCGGGGGTTGTCAAAAAATTGGTGTCGACCCCGGGGCTTATTTGTATTATTTGCACCGGATGAGGAGGGACAACGATGGAAACAGGTATACATGGACAGCAGGTCTTAAAAGATAGCAACCTTTGACTTTGACAGACTGACAGCTGTACCATTTGGTACAGTAACATTGTTTCTCTCTGTTTTCGCCGTGCGTTCGGGATCGCGCCAGAGATGTCGCTTCCGAACGGCATCTCTGAGCATTATCTAGGAAGGGGAGAGTGGAGTCGTGAGCGTGGAGCGTCAGGTAGCTCAGTGGTTTAGAGCAGTCGCTCGGCAAACGAAAGACCTGGGTTCGAGTCCTGGCTTAATTAGCAGAACCGCGCTCTCGATATTTTTCTCTTTCTGGAACGAAAAGATACACAGATCTCGAACGCACGGCGTCCCACCGCCACCTAGTATTGCCCTCCTCCTTCTAGGTTTGTAATCACATCAATATAATTATCTTAAATTCTCAAGATGTTCTAACTCACATTACAGTCACTTTGGCTGTCCGGATCTTTTAATCCATAAACTCTCACAACTCATAGGGCCGATTGTTCCAACCTCTTGGTAAGC